CCTTGGCCACTTGTGGAGCCGAGATTGCGATTTACAAAGAGCAGTTGAAAGCGATCCCTCGCTGTAGCAATCACGAGGCTTTCTTCCTGGGTATCCTTTGTGGAGCCTCTGCAGTGGTTGGAGTGCTTTGTTTGGGATTCCTCTTCTCTCTTCGGAGTCCATTGCTGCGAGGGAGGCTGGGTTTGACGAGAGAAAAAGATCTGGGAGAGGGACTTCTTGACAGTTCGGGCGAAGGGCCGGCGGAGGGTCGAGATGACATCACGCTGGCTGCCGCTCGACAACGTGCTCGTTCGCTACGTGGATGATCCAGCCCTTTATCACCATAGGGTGGTCATAAAAGGGCTGGCGGGGGATGAGGCCTACGTGGTCACACCAGACCGGGAGACGTTTGTCACTACGTTAGCCGTTGGGGAGACTTATGATGATATAAAAAGAATGCACAATGGCCGTCTTCCCTCTGGGTTAACTGAGGATGACACCTACATGGCAAAGCACTCGGGGGAAGGTCCTTTTTCGAGGGAGGAACTGCTGGAGTTTGTGCGCAAGGCTGATGCCGAGCCGTCTCGTCGACCTTCCAGGCGGATCACCGGGAAGTTAGGTGATGATGGGGTTCGGCATCCCGTGGTCGACCAGCATGTGACTGAGGTGTTGGACCAGCCTTCCGATCAGGTTTGGGTTGTTGTCTACAGCTCTTCGGGGGATAAACTCGGTGATCAGGTGGAACCCCCTACTGAGACAAAGGCCATGCAGGTCGGCGGGATGGCATACAAGCTCTTCTCGAGAGGGGGAGCAGTGTGGCTGGTGAGGGGCGTCTCTATGGAAGGGGCGCCTCACCTCAGCGACCTGGTCAGAGGGGCTCGGGATGGAGAGCCCAGCTCCCCCGACAAGGATGTTCGGGTGCTCTCTGTCATGTACGATACGGCAGATGAACGCTGGAGAACGCTGGCGGAGGCTATGCCCGAGACAGAAGAAGTCGATTTCGACGACTTCCCGCTGGCTGGCCCTCGGACTATTCATCGTGACATGAAGCAGCTCAGGCGACTAGGCTTCGACTGGGTCCAACATCATGAAAGTTGGGTCCGAAAGAGCGGGGTTCGGGCCACCGATAGGAGCGTGCACGAACACAGTTCCATCTGCAGAGTACTGAACTACATGGTGTGCTACGACCAGATGAATGTGGGTGCACTTGCATCGGCGGAGGCTTTGAACCGTAGACGGTCGCTGATAGAAGTTGCTCACCAAGGAAGGCCGGACGCACCTTCATACGAGGCTGCAGAGGAATACCTGGGGGTGAGAGACGCCGCAGACGGCACGATCGTGGATCCAGCCTTGACTCAGCATGCTGCCAAACGGCAGGCAGCCAAGGCCGAGGTACTCAAACAGAATCGTTTGGCCAATGAAGAAAAACGACATCTTCGTGCAGGGCAACCCGACAAGCCGGACAAGGGTGAGAAGGCCGGAAAGGGAGGCAAGGGCGATGGCAAGAACAACAGCAGCACCCCCTGAACAGGGGACGGGTCTCGGCTTGGAGGGTGCCCAAGTTGAGACTCCACCCAGTTTTAGC